GATTGGCCAGGGACTTATGGGCAACCAGTTCTCCACACCAGGCCCAGAGAAAGAGGGAGACAAAAGCCATTTTTTGCAGCCCACATTCGCAGGGAGCAAATCTCAACGGCCTCCTCTATAATCCCCTAGAGATTATGTCCATCCCCAGAGGAGGGGAGGCAAAGCAGGCTAAGACAGCACTAGGCCTCGCTGGGGTCACTTTGCCAGGCAGGGGCAGTTTAAAGTTGAACAGCAAGGCCAGAGCTGCCCCCAGCCCCGCCTCCTTCTTGCCCTAGCCACCCCCTTCATCACACTAGTCAATTTCCACACACTCTCCCCTTTGCACAGTGAAATAAGGCCTGGTGAAGGACCTAGGGTTCCTGGAGTCTCCCAGAGACTGCTTCTGGGTGCCCGGATGGGCAAGAACAACCTTAAAGTCCAACCTGGCATTAAGTCTGACCTGGCAGGGGCACTCTATCCTCCCTCCCAAAGTTGTTCTGTTCCCAAGGCCCACAAGGAACCCTGAGGGAGAAGCAGCCAACTGGGATTGGTGCTGGCATCAGGGCCTGGGTCCTAGTTTAGCAGAGCTTCCCCCCAACACAAAAATAAACAGGCAGAAAGGCGATCTGGCCAGGTTCCCAAACTCCCGTGGTTCCCTGAACCCCCAGTCTTTAAAGAGGCACACCCCAGACACCAGGCCTCAGTTCTGCCCCAGCGACTGGCTCAGGTTCCCTTGACAGACCCTGCCAAAGGAACCCTCCTCAGCTCTGGCACCCCTTTCTCCAACCTAAAGGCCAGCTCCGGCCAAGATAGTCCATCTGGCTATGCCCCCAGTCCAACCCTTTCTGGGCCCTGGCTGGGCAGACTTCACTCACCTCTTCACAGGGCGATCCAGAAATCCTCATCCGAGAACATGGCCAGAGCCCGGGCCGCTCCCCGACCTCCAACCGCCAGAGCGATCACAGCCGCCCCCCGCACGGGGGGGCTTAGGGGGGCCAAGAACGGTAAATCCAGGTCGGAGTGGACACCCTCCTCCCCCCCAAAAAAAGCAAGAAGCCAAAGAAGGGTTCTCTGCCTCGGGTTCCAGCAGTTTAGGTTTCCATGGACAGCCCCAGGGCGGCGAATCCCGAGCGGACACAAAGAGAGCACCGGTGGCTTTGATCTTGGGCGAGCAGGCTCCGCATCCGCGTCGCCGGGCGGCCTCTCAGTCCTAGGGCCGGGCCAGCGCCCCGGCCGCCCGCGCCGGGCTCGGGCGGAACGTCGAGGCTCTCCAGATGGAACGTCGAGGCGCCTCCCCAGCAGCCCGGAAGGAATGCCGCGCCGCCCCGCGCCGGGCCCGGATGGAACGTGAGACCCTCGCTGGAGCGGCGAGCCCCTCTCCCCGCCCGGGCCGGCGCCCCGGGGCCGCGCGAGCTACGGCGACGCGGAGCCGGCGGGGCCGCGGGGCTGAACCTGACACACACCCAACGCCGGGCTCCTCGACCCCGAGCGCTCGCCCTCTGAGGCTTCGAGCCCCCCACCTTCTGCTCCCCCCCCCCCCGGGGAAGGGAGGAAGGTAGGTGGGCGAGGAAGAGGAAGGGGCGGGCGGTGCGAGCCCTCTGCCCGCTCCCCTCCGGCCGCTCCAGGCCCGGCGCTCGCCTCCCTTCCCCTCTGGCCTCGGGAGCTGCCCCGCCCCCGGCCTGGCCGGCTCTGATCGGCGGCACCCCTTCGACCCCCGGCTGGCTGTGATCGCGGGGGGCCTAGAGGTGCATGGCCCAACCCCGGCTCCCGGCACCGGGGGGTCAGGAAACTGAGCGGAAAGTGGGGAACGAGGCAGCCATTTGCAACCGGAGAGGAAAGTAGTGCAGCGCGGCGCCGCTCCGCCTCCCCCCCTCCGCCTCCTGTTCGGCCGGTAGGGTGGTTCCTGCGAAGGGGCTATTTCCTGGCCCAAGATCTCGGCAGCGGTCGTGGAGATTCGGGAAGCCTCCGGCGCGAGATCCGGGGGGGCCTTTTGCCTGGGGAACCCCACTCCAGAAGCGGAGAAAGGAGAAGACGCGGCCCTATTTTGTGTTGGAGCGGAGCGGCGGAGGGATCCGGCCCTCTCGGAGGAAAGGTTGTGACTCTGCAGTTCTACGCACACGCTGCGGGATCCCTCCGCCTCGGGTTAACCCCGACTGCGCCGGGCCGGCCACTGTGCAGACACGTGGGAATGAAGCCCCCCTCCTCTGCGCCCCGGCCCTGGACCTGCCTCCTTCACCGCCCGGCTGGTGAAACTAGGACTCCGGCCACTTTCTAGTTCCGTTCCCTTGCAGTTCTCGGCCCCTGAAACCACCTGCCCCCTTGCCTTGGCCAGGGGCAATCTTTCGCGGGAGGGGGATGGAAGAAGAGCCAGGAGATTGGCCGCTGCTCTGCATCCTGGGAACTGGAGTCCGCAAATGGAGAAAGTGAGGCACGGCGCCTGGCGCTGCAATGGGTGGGTTCTTGCCACGTTCGGGGGCCCGAAGGAAAGCGGGACGAGTCCCTAGTCGTTCCTTCTGGCTCTCAAACCCCCTCCTGAGGAAAGAAGAGCCAGTGCCCGCACAATCACCACACACACCTCCCCCATCAAAACATAAATGTGGAGTTTCCTTCCTTTCCCGGGTGCTCCCACTCCGACCCCCAGTCTTTCTCTCGGGACCTTCAGGCCCTGTGTCCCCTTCTCTAGTAAACAGAGGCGATGGACCTTGGAGCCTTGTTGCTACCTGGCCGGAGTGCTGTTACTCTAGACAAGATCCCAAAACACTGCTTGCAGGCATTCCCCCACACACCCCAATAAGTCTGGGCAAGGAGGGATTGGAATGCCTTTTCTGCATTAGCTGTAACCACGGCTGAACGGGAGACAAATTAACTATATGCTAGATACTTAATATATTCTTAGTTATCTCTCACCCTCGTTATGAACTACGTGGAATTAAGTCTATGATGATGAGATTGAGGCTAAATAAAATAGGTAAAATTTCCCAATGAACCACATCAAGTGACCAATGGCCATGTTTTTCCTAGGATTATATATATTTATATAATTTAAAAAAAATTTTTTAAGGAGGATGTGGAGAAAGAGGCAAATCAGGTACAGGGCTGGTTTTGTGGGAAAGGGTTTACAGTGTTGTCCTATAGAATTTTCGGCAATGACGGAAATGCACTAGAGCTACACTAATTTGGCTTAGCCACATGTAGCTATTGAGCACTTCGAAATGTAGGTGGTGCAACTGAGGACCTTTTTGTTTAATTTTAATACTAAATTAAAACTATGTGAGATGTGGCTTCCATATTGGACAGTGCAGAAAACCTAAATCCCTACCAACCAGTCAGGTTCATGGGAGGGATCAGAACTAGGCATATCCCGTGCTAGCCACACAGTGGCATCATATACCGTGCACTGACCATGCAGTTCTAGTTCAGCAAAAAAAGTCCAGGAGCGACCCCACACCTGTCCCAGCTATAATGAATAAATTAACTGAGACAGAAGTTGCAAAATGGGGGCACCTGCCTGGCTCAGTCAGTACAGCACGCTCTCTTTATCTCGGGGTTGCAAGTTCGAGTCCTCCATTGGGCATAGAGATTACTTAAAATCTTTAAAAATAAATAAACACTTTTTAATTTTAAAAAGTTGGAAAATGGAAGGTCCCTCTCTACTCTATATCCAGATGCCGGGAGGCTGACCTTCACCAAAAAGACCTCCAATAACACTATAGCCACTGTTTCTTAAGGGTTTATTATGTATGAGAGACTATGCTAAGCATTTCATATATCACCTCAATTTAATTCTCAACTCAACCCTATGAAGGTTTAACTACACTTCGTAAATGAGAAACTGAGGCTCAGCCAGGTTAAGTGACTATACAAGGTCACACAGCTAAGTGGAAAAGTATTCCAACCTAGCCATTAACTACTATTCATGACTTTTATCAGGCCTTTGAGATTGCTTGATACACTTTTAGAAAACTTCAAACATTTGTAAGTCTATCCCAGACCTCATGGAAATGGCAGCAGGGCAACAGACAACCTATAGTGAGTATTCCAGGTCAGATGTGCAAAAGGACCTAATTTTAATGTAAGGAAAGAGTGTGGTGACAACCCTAAAAAGAATCCTAAACCACTGAGATTGCTCTTTGGAGAATGCTCCTTCCAGCAGCCCTTATTTTTTAGATTCTAGATTAGAGATGCAAAAGCAGCTGGCAGAACTTTCTAAAACTAGCATGACACACGATGACCCCAACTCTAAGCCCAGCTAGCCAAGAGTCGGGTGCCAGCAAGATCACAGCTAAGATTTTGCCCATCCTCCCCAACTAAGTGCATGGACAGGGTACCTCAGACCCCCAGGTGGCTAGAGAAGTCTGTGTTCTCCCTGTGAGGGATACTATTCTAGTAACACTCATAAGTCCTTGGAGGAGGTATTAGGCCAATTAGGCCCTAGGTCTGATGGGGGTGGTGGATGAGCAGAAAAAGTAGAGGCAGATAGGACCAATTCTTCCTTGCTGAAATGTCCATCCTCTTACTGAGATGGCAGGTTAAGAAGAAAGAGTAGAAGTAGGGGCGCCTGGGCGGCTCAGTCTGTTGAGCAGTCAGCTCTTAATTTTGGCTCAGGTCATGATCTCAGGGTCATGAGATTGAGCCCCCAGAATCTCGAGAGTATCTCTCTCCCTCTCCCTCTCCCCTTCCCTTCCCCAGGCTCAGGCACATGCACGCGCATGCTCTCTCTCTCTCAAACAAATAAATAATCTTAAAAAAAAAAAATGGGAGCAATACCCTTTGACACCTAAAAAAGTGGCACGATTCCAAAGGTGTGAAGGGTGTGAAAAGGTCACCCAAGGTATGAAAAGACCAAAGAACATCGATTTAATGAAAGGCTCTGGGGACATGGGAGTGGAAAGATGGATATACACCAGGAGCATTATTTCTTACTTTACTCAACTGTCTTAGAAAGCCAAAATCTTCACCAACACTTCAGTCCCTGCCTCTACACTCCTTAATTATTACATCACTTAGGATGAGGGGCTTCCTTCCTCCCCAAACCTTAGCGTCTCTCTGAGTGCCAGCGAATGCCAAGGCCAAGAGGGAAGCTAGGTCAGCATGCAGCAGCTGGCCACTAGAGGGTGGTGTTTCTGTAGTTAAGGGGACCTTGAGCTGTCTACAATCTTGGATGGAGTGGCAGCCAACTGGTACCTGTGTAGGAGAACCTAGCAGAAAAGAAAGGTGAGAAAAACTAAGGAGTAAGTCTTAGGGTAATGGTCCTCCTGAATGAGTGAGGAGCAAGGAATAGGAATGAAGTGGGGGGAAAGAGTTAGCCCTTATTCCCCACCAAAAGTCACAGTCACCACTCATTGGAAAAGGAGATATTGGCCCTGAGCTCTCCCCACATACAGAGAAGCCAGCGACAAAAAGATTTCTCAGTTTATTTGCATATATACATTGTCACCCTAGGGAGCAAGCTCCACTTCAGGAATCCCCAGCTCCCCTCACCCAGCCAACGCCCAAAACCTGCACAGAAGACAGGGTCCTAAATAAACAATGCTTCGGACTCATATCCCAACCCTGCAGGTTATAACAATTCATGTAGCAAAAACAGAGGACTAGAGGCCAGTCCCATGAGACATCCTTGCCCCATTGTAAACATTGACAACCAGGCCACTAGAGCCTGGAAAAGTGTGCAAACATGAGGGTACCACACTGTGTGACCAGAGGACCGGGGACACAGCTGGCAACCATACCCGTGAAGTCCTAAGGGCCTACACCCACTGGAGCCTGGCAAGTGCCAGGGGCAGAATCAAGGCAGCTACCCAATGCCTGAGGGCTCACATGAGCCGGCAGCGGCGCTCTTGCCCATAGGAATTCTCTACCCGGGCAATCTCCTGGATGACTTTGGTGAAGATGCCTCGAGTCAGCTGCAAGGGACAGAGATTCGGGGTGGGGGGGGGGGAGTCAGTTCATTGCCAATACGACCCAGCTCTGAGGTGTATACCCCACTCCCCGACCATCCTCACCACCAAGCAGTGCCATAAGAAAAACACTGCTACCCTGATTGTGCCCCTAATCTTCAGGTCAAGCACCTGGTTCTCTCGAGCAGATGACTCCATAAACGTCGCACCCCAGGACTCTGCCAGCTTCTTCCCTTCAACTGCCTGGACCTCCCTAGAAGCAAATTTGGAACATGAAGATGGAAGATAGCAATGTCCCATGTTCTCTGCAAAATCATTACAGAATCTAGACTTCCTCTGACCCATCCTGTTTCTAAGGTTTGGGAGGTAGGTTGGGGAAGGAGAAAAATAAAGGAGAACTCAGAAGCCTAGGACTGAGCTTGAAATATTAAATTATAGCTTTTGCGACAGAAGGGTTATCTTGCCTTAACCTTCAAGTTAGAAACGAGAAGAGGTGAAATGATTTGTTCAAGTCAGTGGCAGAGCCAGGACTAGAGCCTGACTGGTTGCTAGTCCATCTCACTTTCCTTTGCCTTGAGCTACAGAGATCTCCGTACCTGTCTGGAGAGAGATCTGCTTTGTTTCCCACTAGCACCACCGGCAGCCTGTGAAGAAATAGCAGTTACTACAGGATCCCCTCTCACTCCGCATGGAACCCAACTTCCTTCGCATCAGGGCTGGACAACTCCCCAGCAGATCAGACAGGATTTGTCCTGGCCTCCTCCCTCACTTGGACCCTCCACTCTCTTCCATCCCCTCATGTCCATACTCTGTCTCTATCTCCCAGGGCCACTTACCGAGTTTTCCCATGGCCTTCATGTAGCTTTTGGTACAGACTCTCAATGACTTGGAAGCTTTAAACACAAGAAATGGAACTATAAACTTAATCAGGGACAGCCCTCAGATCTTCCCAAGCCCCCACTCGTAACCTTGATCACTTACCTATGCAGAGAGGTGACAGAATACACAAGCACATAACCATGGACCCCAATGATGAATGAATAGGGCAGAATGCTGTACTCATCCTGACAAGAAACAGAAACATCAACACCTAGATACACAACACTCAGATGGCAAAGGTTGGTGGGTTGCATCCTGGGGACCCTCCCTGGGGCACTCCCTACTCCAGTCATTTCTATTCGACAAGGATTTACAGCGTAGCTCCAATGTGCACTGCACACTACCAGCTGCTAAAATGCTTTTGTTTTAAAACTACTTTACAGATAGATGAGCCACGGAGGCAACCAGACTTCATCTCCCACCACTGAACTGCCACATTTAGATTACCCTACCCCAAACTGGTACCTGCCCTGCTGTGTCCACCAGGTGTAGGTGAAACTCATCTTTGCCAAGAGTCACTATCTTGCTGTAAGCTGAAAAGAAAAGAAAACTTGACTGTGAGGTGTCTTGTAGGGCTAGCAATGTGTGCCCCAATGCGTTCTTAACTCTAGGGGTGATATATAGATGGGCCAGGACCAGGGAGCACTCCAGGCAGCTGGAGAGACAATGTCAAGGTTCTTATTGTCTAGTCTACACCATCCTGGACGCAGTATCCTGCAAAATCCACACTCTAGCTCAACTAATAGAACAGGATTGCTAGAGAAGAGATTAGATTTAATGGATAATTAAATCAGCCCCTTGGCACCAGGAAAACCCCAGATTACGGAATTGGGTGGGGCAACAAAGACCTCCCTGCTCCATCCCTAGGGGAGAAATCTACTCACTGTTCTCCACTGTAGGATCATAGCCTTCCAGGAACTCGCCCTCCACAAACTGATGTGCCAAAGATGTCTTCCCTGTGGGAAGCAGTGGTAGTTGTATCCAAATCATCCATCCACATTTACATCCTCTGTCCTTTCGGACTGTGGCCCAGGACTAAAGAGGACCCCAAATTAGCACCCTAGCCTATGGGTGCCATGCAATGTTTTTCCTTAGCCTACCCTCACCCTCTTTTCGCCTTGGGTCTCTGCACCCTGGCCACCGGATGCATTCAGTAGCGCCGCAGGAAGCCTTTCCTGCCGCCTTTCCCCACCCCACCCCGGGAAGATCCGGGATTCCCCTAGGATCAGGTCTGCCCCGCGCCCGGACACCTGAGACTTGCCACCCACACAGACCGCGCCCCCGTCATCAAAGCCTGACCCCATCCCTACCCCTCCCAGGTTAACACTGGGGACCACTGTGGTGTTCCTGCAACCAAGCCCACATTAACCCTTACATGCTCCTACTTCCTGCAGCCCTCCACACACTACCACCACCCCAGCCTTTCCTCCTCCATCCTTTCAATCCTCGTCCTACAACCCCGTTCTAACGATGCCACCATTCCTCTCTGGGTCGCGTTCCCGCGACAGCGCGCCTCCTCTGGCCACAAAGCCGCGGTGCGTCCGTGCTCTCCCCAAGGCGGAGACTCACCTACAGAGCGGTACCCGAGGATGACCACCTTCCTGTAGCGAACTAGCGGCATGGCAGTAGCCGGCCCCGAGGGGCTTGCCGAACTGCGGGCTGAAAGAGCCCTAAGAAGAGGAGATCAGAGTGTAAGGCAGGCGCAGCAACCGGCACAGCAAAGTCGCTCACCCCGAAGCTGCCAGGGACAAGCTAGAGGGAAACCAAAACAAGCGCCGCGCCCGGAGCTGGCCACGTGATCACAACACAGCAAGACTAACGCGAGGGAGCCGGGCGCCGGGGGATCTACAGTGCCGCGCCGCTCCGGGCTCCGCCCCCCAGGCCGCTCGCCATTGGTTCATTAGAAAGAATAAGGGCGGGGCCGCCAGCGGGAGGGAAGGGTGGGCCTCACGTGGAGCAGGAGAACCAGGAGCTGCGCCTGCGCAGACTAGAGCCGGTTCATTCATAAAGAAACAGAAAGGAGCCCGGGGTCCTAGAGGTGTTTGCGCATTTTCAACCTAGCAGAAGTGGCTGCGAAGAATCGTGGATGGAAAAATATTCGTTGTGGCTGGGCTGGAATTTCTTCTCGGAAGATTCTAGGCTTCCCTTCTGCGAGGTCTCTGAGAGCCTTGGATGGGGGGAAAAGGCCCAAATTCCAATATATTACCTCTGCTTCCCCCAGACTTTGGCCCCAGATCTTTTATTGTCGATTTCCACAGTCTACCAGGATCTTCGGAAATGCGATTCTTATTCTTGAGACAAGTCGTTAGAATTTGTGGCCAGGTCGTCTGAAGTTTTGTTGTCATCATCATGATCAATGCATTAATTTATTCAACAAATATTTATTATGCATATACTATGTGTTTCAGGTGTTGTTCTAGCTTTGGGGATAGAGCGAAGAACGTGACAGACGTCTCTGTGCTCACAAAGCTTAAAACCGAGTTGGAAGAGACAAACATATAAACAAGGAAATATTAGATGGTATTAAGTGATATAAAAGGTGGTATAATAAGAAATGGCCACATTAGATTAGTAATACTTCCTCTCAAAGGAATCCCTATTTAAATTGAGGTCTAGGGGCGCCTGGGTGGTTCAGCCGTTAAGCGTCTGCCTTCAGCTCAGGTCATGATCCCATACTCCTGGGATCGAGCCCCGCATCGGGCTCCCTGCTCGGCGGGAAACCTGCTTCTCCCTCTCCCACTCCCCCTGCTTGTGTTGCCTCTCACTGTGTCTCTCTCTGTCAAATAAATAAAAATAAAATCTTTAAAAATAAATAAATAAATAAGTAAATTGAGGTCTGAAAGACAATAAGGAGCCAGCGAGCACAAAGTTCTGACAGAAGAATCCATCAGTGCTATGGGTGCTACGATGAAAATAAATCTGTTAAATTCCAGGAGAAAGGGAGGGAGAGAGAGTGTGTGTGTGGACCTAAAGCAGATGAAGTCTAAGAGGATGGCAGGGGCCAGGCCATGTAAAGAAGTTTGGGTACCCAGAAAGCCGTTGATGATCTGAATATCTGAATTGTGTTTCTAAAAGTTTTCCCTGGTTAAAAATAAATAAATAAATTTCTCTCATTGTGAAGAATGAGGGGGACAAGAGCAAGAGGGGAAGAAGGGAGATCAGCTAGGAGACTTACTTGTAGTCCAGGTGAGAGGTGAAGGGGGCTTGACTAGAGTGGCAGAGATGAATGAAGTAGAGAATTTTGGATACATTTTGAGGCTGAGTCAATCTGATTTGCTAAAGGATTGGATATAGCAGGTGAGGGAGGGAAAAAGAAGAAAGAAAACAGCTAGGTTTATGGAGTTCTACTTTGCGCCAGGTGCATTTCATTGTTATCTCATTTAATATTCACAACAGCCCTAAAGTTGGTAATTGGTATTATTTATCCATTCATCTACAAATATTTATCAAACAACCATCATACCCCATGCACCCTTCTTGATGCTGGGAATAGAGCAGCAAACAACACAGAAAAGGTCTTTGCTCACAAGGAGCAAGTATTCTTTTGGGAGAAGACCAACAATCTACAAATAAACAATAAATAAACTACAATAAAAAAGTAATAACTGCAGTGGGAAAAAAAAAACAAGGTATTAATGGACTAGAGAGTAATGGGGTGTGGTACGCCTCTTCTTTTATATGGTATCCTAGAAAGCCTGAGGAGGTGACATTTGTACCTGAGGCTTGAATGATGGGTAGTTATTATCACCCTTATCTTACAGATGTGGAAACTGAGACTTAGCCATACAGATAGAACACAGAAGGTAGTTCTTCTGGAAGGGCCTGATGAAGTGGGTATGTAGCAGTTAGACTGTACTGGAAGACAGGCTTTGTATAACTGTGGAACTATCTAATGCTTTAGAAAGTCCAAATATACAAAAGTTGTTTCAACGAGCCACTTACTCTGGCCTCAGAAAGGGACCCAAATAGCTTTTCAACTGGTTAAAGGAAGTTCCTTGCAGACCAGCAATTTTATGTTGAATTATTTGGCCTGAGTGAGGTTGGTGGAGAATCCAGATTGGGTCTTAAGCACTGCAGGGTAGAACAAAGAACTATATTCAATGAAATTCAATAAAAATTTATTCATCTTCTACTTTGTACCAGATACTCGCACCACCTGTTGCACAGTATGGATATAAAGATAAGTGAGATGCCTTTTGCGCTGTTTTTCTTCCCAGATTAACTCTCTATTCTTTTCCACCTAGATTTGTTCCAGGAGGCAGACCTTGCCCCCTGGATCCCAGCAGAGTTCAGCCTAAGGGAAGCCCTCACAGAAGGTCAGATGGAGTGGGGAGAGTATCTGTGACCCCCACTGAAGGTCCTAGCACCCCTCAAGTCACTCCTCCAATACCTCCCCCCATACACACACACATCTCTTGTTCTGTTTCTAGTTGCTTCCAGCCTATATTGGTGACAGCTTCTCTGATACTCACCTTAGGGTACTGCTGTACCCCTGTGGTTTCCCTACACCTTTGTAAATAGGTTCTTTATTAAATCATTCTCAAATTCTCTTGTTTTCAATCAGGAGGAAAGCAAAAGGGCTAAGACAAAGGGCTTCTTCCTCTTGTGGCTTTTTCTTTTTATACAGGAAAAGAAAATCTCACAGCAGATTTTCACCTACATCTCCTCAAACCGAACTATTATATGGCCATCTTTAGCTGTAAGGGAGCCCAGAAATTTTAGCATTTTCTTTTCTACCCTCAATAATAAAGGAAGGCAAAAGAGAAGGTGATTAGGAATAAATTCTACCCTCAGTAATAAAGGAAGGCAAAAGAGAAGGTGATTCAGGGGTGCCTGGGTGGCTCAGACAGTTAAGTGCCTGCCTTCAGCTCAGGTCATGATCCCAGGGTCCTGGGATCCAGCCCCATGTCAGGCTCCTTGCTCAGTGGGGAGCCTGCTTCTCCCTCTCCCTCTCCCTGCTGCTCCCCCTGCTTGTGCTCTTTCACTCTCTCTCTCTCTCTCCCTGTTAAATAAATAAATAAAATCCTAAAAACAAAAGACAGTGTTAAAAAAAAAAGAATAAATGTTCAGTGAGCCAATCCACAAGACCTGCACACCTCAGGACCAAGATATTTGTTTATTAAATATCAATCACCTTAGAGAGTAATGCATAAATGGTTACTTTGTAAAGATCACAGATATACAAAGATCGCCAATATAGGATCAACTAAAGAAAGTAAACTATCCTAATGGCAGGTAAATGGGCTTGGAATAAAATTTCTAGAGACAGCATCATATATTTTGCTATGTCTCAAACAACTGAGACAAAATAAAGATTAAATGCTCTCAGGAAACTGTTTTAAGTATCTCTATGAAAAGTGAAAACATTTTTACTATGTTTTATCAAAAGTATGGGTTCTGGGGCACCTAAGTGACTCAGTTGGTTAAGTGACCAACTCTTGGTTTCACCTCAGGTGGTGATCTTGGGGTCCTGGGATCGAGCCCTGTGTCAGGCTCTGCGCTCAGTGGGGAGTGTGCTGGAGATTCTCTCTCCCGTTCTGTCTCCCTCTACCCCTCCCCCTTCTCATGCTCTCGCTCTCTAAAATATAGATAAATTATTTTTTAAAAAGTATGGGTTCCAGGGACACCTGGCTGGCTCAATCTGTAGAGCATGCAACTTTGGGTCTCAGGATCATGAGTTTGAGCCCACGTTGGGCATAGAGATTACTTAAAAACAACAACAATGATGACAAAAATTTGGTAGTTTAAAAAAAACAATGTATTCTTTCTCCTGGTTCTGTGGGTTGAACTAGCAACTCTTCTGTTGTGTCTCTTGGACTCACTCCTGTGGTTACCAGAGGCCACAGACCCTGCTGGGTGGCCCTTTCCTCCAACTACAGCTAGTTACAGCTCTTTCTGGGTTCTTGTAACCCTTCCTTCCCTGGCCCCTTCAGGCCTAGGGGTTACTTCTAGTGTTCCTCACTGATGCCAGACTCAATGTTTCACCACTCTGGTAGATATTCTTTTTTTTTTTTTTTTAAAGATTTATTTATTTATTTATTTGAGACAGAGAGAATGAGAGAAAGCACATGAGAGAGGGGAGGGTCAGAGGGAGAAGCAGACTCCCCGCCGAGCAGGGAGCCCGATGCGGGACTCGATCCCGGGACTCCAGGATCACGACCTGAGCCGAAGGCAGTCGCTCAACTAACTGAGCCACCCAGGCACCCAAGCATCTGGCTCTTGATTTCAGCTCAGGTCATGATCTCAGGGTCGTGAGATCAAGCTCCACATGGGGCTCCGTGCTGGACCTGGAGTCTGCTTAAGATTCTCTCTCTCCCTCTCCCTCTGCTCCTCCTTCACCCCCATGCATGTGCTCTCTCTCTCTCTCTCAAAAAAAAAAAAGAATTTGATTTGGGGTGCCTGCCTGGTTCAGTTGGTAGAGCATGCAATCTTGATCTTGGGGTCATGAGCTCAAGCCCCACGTTGTGGGTAGAGTTTACTAAAAAAGAATTTGACCTTTATTCAGTATCCAGCGTTCTCAAAATATACCACTAGTGGTGGTATGTAAGATGATTCAGGTAACACACACACGTTAAAATTTTGTTTTCTTATGTAATTTTTAAAGTGTGGTGGGAAAAACAATATAATGCCCAAACTATGACTTCACAAATACTTTTGCACAGAAGCTAAACCTGGTAGTAAGAAAAGCCAATAGAATTCGAGAAGAGGGGCGCCTGGGTGGCTCAGCTGGTTAAGCAACTGCCTTCGGCTCAGGTCATGATCCTGGGGTCCTGGGATCGAGCCCCACATCAAGCTCCCTGCTTGGTGGGAAGCCTGCTTCTCCCTTTCCCTCTACCCCTGCTTGTGTTCCCTCTCTAGCTGTGTCTCTCTCTGTCAAATAAATAAATAAAATCTTTTAAAAAAAAGAATTCAAGAAGAATATTAAACATTTATATGCGTGGAAAGACGCTATGGACATCGTCATGAAAACAGTACAAGGTTTTGGTAGCACTGCCGTGAGCAATGGAATCTTTGCCATTAACTTGGTGGGGAGATGGGAAGAGTCAGTACCTCAAGGAGAGCTGTGTCTATGAGGTCACACCGGTGGCCCTGTAGAGGACGTAGGACCAAGAGAGGTTGGGGCTGGAGGTGGAGGGTCTATTAGGAGAAAAAATACCCAGAAAGGAGATGAGGGCCTGGACCAGGTAACAACAGAAAGGGTAGTGAAGGGGCGCCTGGGTGGCTCAGTTGGTTGAGCGACTGCCTTCGGCTCAGGTCATGATCCTGGAGTCCCGGGATCGAGTCCCGCATCGGGCTCCCTGCTCGGCGGGGAGTCTGCTTCTCCCTCTGACCCTCCTCCCTCTCTGCTGTCTCTCATTCTCTCTCTCTCAAATAAATAAATAAAATCTTAAAAAAAAAAAAAAAGAAAGAAAGGGTAGTGAAGACTCAGAGAAGGTGCTCTAGATAGAAGTTGTGAAGTTGATGACCTGATTAAAGCAGACAAAGGGAAGGACAATGGCGATTCCGTGAATAGGATTAGAAGACATGGGAGGAAGAACAGGAATTTTTTAGTGGGGGTAAGGGGAGAGAATACTGAATTAATGCATTTATTTTTGACATGTGGATTTTGGGGCACCTCCCAGATATTAACATGTTGATGAGCCATTGAAGGATATGTGTCTCTAGGCACTCTACAGAAAAATAACCAGGATACACATGCAGGCGTCTTCCTTGCATGTTCCCTATGTCTGGTTCTCCCCTCACTCCTACACCTACTCTTGGCTTCTGCTAGTATGGAGATGATAAATACCAGTCCATTTCAGGAAAATGGGAAGTACTTAGCTCCCCTCAGGGGACCTTGCTCAATGCAGGGACCATAATCAGCAATATGCAAAATAATTGAATTATAACCTATTGGAGCCGGAGGACCTTGGTGACCAGCTGATATCACAATTTTCTCCAGACTACAGGCTGAGAAGCAGCAGCCTGGAGAAGTAAAGTGGTTCACGGCAGCAAAACACAGTGGAAAGAACATGGACTTTGCAGTCAAGCAGATCTGGTGTCAAAGAGGTTGTGTGATCTTAGGTGATCTTAAGCGGTTTACTTCACTACTCTGAGCCTCAGTTTCTCTTCCATGAAATGGCTGGAACAACATGGTGGCAGATGTCTGCCATTCTTTGTGGCTGCTGGCAGGAAGATTGAGGTCCAGGACGGCCCATAACAGTGGTGCCATCAGGGCCTTCCAGCATCAGTGTCAGCGTTGGGCTGCAAATTGCAGCGTCTGGTGTTCAGTGGCAGTTGCCACGGTGCCCCCACGGGCTTGGTTCTGTGATCTGAGGCATTGTTTCTGGCTGCAGAGCCTCACAACCCAGGTCTCCCGTGGTCCCTGTGACCTGCTTAAATCCTTCTGGAATCAAATACTTATTGTTGCACAACTGTTGTGAGAAGTGAATACAATAATGTATGTAAGCTGTTACTCACTGAATTAATGCCACCGTAATAACTCTCATTATGAGTTTGAAAGTGAATTCACAGTTTGGCTAGAGAGGTATGCCCAGAGGAAGGCAGATGGTCTGGCTCCCTCCCCGAACACCACTGAGAAAGATGATCCTGGGAAGAACACTCAGTCTAACCAATTTGGGGACTGGACTTGCTTGGGATATCTCCAAATATTCACATGCTACGGAAGCCTTGCAATAATTCCTGAGTGTCTGCTCTGGGTCCTACCATGCCAATGTATCCATCGCATTCCCTTTCCACTGCCCAGAATGCCTGTGTCCTCTATCTAGGGCACTCCCTTTTTTCTAGTGAGGTACCAGATTGCTGCCTGATGAGTAGAAAATTAGGACCCTCTCTAGAGGGGAGGGGGGGGAGGATGGGTTAGCCTGGTGATGGGTATTAAAGAGGGCACGTTCTGCATGGAGCACTGGGTGTTATGCACAAACAATGAATCATGGAACACTACATCTAAAACTAATGATGTAATGTATGGGGATTAACATAACAATAAAAAAATTTTTAAAAAAAGGAAAATTAGGACCCTCTCAATGGGGTATTTCAGACAGTCAGACAGTCATCTGGAGGCCTGAAGAACCATTCCTGCCCCACCAATGACCACACTGGGCACCTCTCTCACCAAGATCATTCTGGTCACACAGTAACAATTCTTATTGACTGAGTTGCCCATGTTGCCACATTCCATTTTGGCTTAATAGACTGATATTGGCTGATCAATTATTCTTTCTCTTTCATTTTGTTTTATTCTTTTATTTTTTTATTTTATTTTATTTTTTTAAAGATTTTATTTATTTGAGAGAGAGAGTGAGAGAGAGAAAGAGCACAAGAGCGGGGAGCGGGAGAGGGAGAAGCAGACTCCCCGCGGAGCAGGGAGCCCGATGCGGGACTCGATCCCGGGACTCCAGGATCATGACCTGAGCCGAAGGCAGTCGCCTACCAACTGAGCCACCCAGGTGCCCTGTTTTTATTCTTTTAAAGATTTATTTATTTTGAGAGAGAATGAGAGAGAGAGAGAGAGAGTGGGGGGGGGAGGGGAGGGACAGAGGGGGAGAATCTCAAGCAGACTCCATGCTGAGCATAGAGCCAGACTAGGGGCTCCATCTCATCACTCTGAGATCATGACCTGAGCCGAAATCAAGAGTCAGATGCTCAACCAACTGAGCCACCCAGGCGCCCCTTTCTCTTTCATTCTAGATACATTAATATCACGCAGCTAAAATTGAGAGAAATCTTTTTTTCCTCCTCCTTACTCTTCATTCCCTACTTCATCCTATCAACCACTAGGTCCTATCCATTCCACAAATATAAATACTGCCTGCAACTGTCCTTTCTCTCCATCTCCATTGCCACCTCTCTATCTCACCAGCATCAGCTCCCATCTGCACCACTGCACTACCCTGTTTGCTTTTGCCCTCCTCCCTGGACTCACTAACTCCCTTTTAGTCCATTCTCCACTCGGCAACTAGAGTGATCTTTTTAAAATCCAAATTTTAGGGGTGCCTGGGTGGCTCAGTCATTAAGCATCTGCCTTTGGCTCAGGTCATGATACCAGGGTCCTGGGATCGAGCCCCGCATCAAGCCCCACATCAGGCTCCCTGCTCCGCGGGAAGCCTGCTTCTCCCTCTCTCACTCCCCCTGCTTGTGTTCCCTCTCTCGCTGTCTCTCTCTCTGTCAAATAAATAAATAAAATCTTAAAATAAAATAAAATAAAATCCAAATTTGATCAGGCCATTCCACGAAGCTAAAACCTAATTAAATTAATTCAATCTATTCAAATGACTGCCTGTTTCTCTAGAAAAGTATTAAAAATCCTTAGCATAGTAAAATGCCTATTAGTACTTGCAGGGGCCTAATAAATATTTGTTGAAGGGAGGGAGTCAAATCTCTGAGCCTGGGAGGAAATGCCTTGTTCTTTTGTGTGTTAATTTGCCTTGTTCAAATCTCAGGGCACCTCCTTCTTTCCAGCTTCTTGGAAGTACCTCATTGTGGCCTCTGGCATCTCTTACAAAGTGATTTCCTCAAGGTCACACAGCTGGTGCAAAAGCACCAAATAGAATATACAGCCCTATTGTTTGCAAGTGTAGAATCACAGTTAAGTGAGAAGCAATCATGGTTGGAAAGTGACAATCACCCATACGACGCTTGATCCTCCTATAACACTCCCACCAAGTTTCTAGGTCTTGGTATAGCGTTTTTCCAAGATAAAGGAAATCTACCTCCTCACCCCACCAAAGAAGCCCCTTCTTCTTTAGACAATTCTAATGGTTATCGAAAATTGGACAATTTAAAGAATAATCCATCCTAGCCAGTTTATCAAAGGATAGAGAGAATGAGAGAAAGGAGGTTGGGTATGAGAGAGACCCACACCCTCCTTCCTGTGATGGTCCCAAGGTGCTTTGGGTCAGCTGCCTCCAAGAAGGAGTGGATGACTGGCTTCAGCTTAGTTCACAGAGAGACTTGTGATATTTAGTCTCAAAACTTCTAGGAGATACTATAGACTAGCCAGGGACTAGAACAGGGAAGGGATGTGTGTGGAGGAAATGGGATTAATCCCAGCTCAAATTTTGGGTGGAATCCCAGCTGCTGCAGCTGCTGAGGGCTTAACCAGCTGTTTCCTGGGCAGCTGCGGTGTTCAGCCCAGACCTGGCTCTCGGGGTGGCAGCTCTGTCTCAGCTTAGGGCCATCAGCTCCAAACTAAGCCAAACTCTGCGGGAAGAATGGCTGGAAAGCAAAAGAGAATAGCAGAAAAGGAGTTCCCAGTTCCAAGGACTTCTGTTTGGACACTATGTGGTTTGGAGTCAAATAACTATGGTCTTAGGTTATGTGGTCCCAAGGAGAGAAGTTGAGAGACAGTTTGGGTTTAGGTTTCAGGGAGAAGCGAAGCCAGGGCTGGAGGCATCACCTTCAGATCTGCCTCTATCCTATCGTGCCCTGCTCCAATATCCCTACACTGTCCCCCACCACCTGCTCCCATAACAGACAGTGTGGGGATGGGGCATTTGCTACTTGCAATCAGAACTAGCAACACTTACATGCACAGGGGAGGACCAACCTACTCAGGGATTAGAGATGACCCAAAAAGCCCATCCAGTTGCCAATTTCTTTTTTAAAATGCAAGTTTGATCCCCTCCCGCAACTGCTTCAAATCCTACAGTTGCTTTTCATCTTCAGGACAAAACTGAAAATCTTTAAAGTATATCACACCTTCCTTTCACTAAACTGAACTTACTGATGCTCCTTTACTCTTGAATTGATGTTCAATTCACTCGTCCATTTGATGTTCAATTTACTCTTTACCCAACTCCAGGCCTTTGTTTATGCTGTTAGCTCTGCTCGAACAACTCTTACCCATCTTTCAGTGTCAGCTTCAGTGTCACTCCTCATCTCCTTCACCGTACTCAACAACCTTCTGACCACTGTGTCTTGCCAGGTGAACTGTGAGAGCCATGCCTGACTTACTGTCCTCTTCCCATGGCACATCAATAGTATTTGGCACAAGTAGTAAGATCTGACTGAAAATATCCCCCCATCTAATGGGAGATGTTCATGTGTATACATCAACCGATTCACATATAGAGACAGTAACAGGGAGAGGAGAGTCTGAATGTGCTAACTGGCCACACAATCCGCACAAGGAAATACCCTGAGCAGCCATAGCCTTCGTCCCATAGACAGCTGCTTCAGTCTTCCAGCCAGAGAAGGAAGCTTCCTCCAGTTGTGACCACACAGGTACGGTCAGAGATAAACATGTCAAGGCTCTAGGTCAGAAATGCTCACTTTTCCAAGTTCATTATTTTCAGTAAGTAAAGACTCCATCTTAGCACTGGCTTCTTCTCACTTCACACATTTCTGGAAGATTGTATTAGTCTGCTAGAGCTGTCATAACAAAATATCATCAACTGGGTGGCTTAGACATCAAACATTTATTTTCTCACTGTTTTGGAGGCTGGGAAAGTCCAGGATCAAAGTTCTGGCCAATTTGGTTTCTGGTGAGAACTCTCTTCCTGGCCTGCAGAGGGCTGCCTTCTCGCGATGTCTTTACATCCCTTTCTTTGGTGCATGCAAAGAGAGAGAAAACAACTTTCTGGTGTCTCTTCTTCTTCTTCTTTTAATATTTTATTTATTTGGCACAGAGAGAGAGAGATCACAAGCAGGGGGAGCGGCAGAGGGAGATGGAGAAGCAGGCTTCCCGCCGAGCAGGGAGCCGGATGCGGGGCTTGATCCCAGGTCCCTGGGATCATGACCTGAGCTGAAGGCATACACTTAACGACTGAGCCACCCAGGCGCCCCTGGTTTCTCTTCTTATAAAGCCACTAATCCTATCATATCAGGGCCCTACTCTTATGACTTCATTTGACCTTAATTATTTCCTTAGAGGTCCCATCTCCAAACACAGCCACACAGGGGTTAGGGTTTGTGCGAATGAATTTGGAGGGGGCACATATATTCAATCCTTAACAAAGCTCAGTCTCCCCTCTCCTCTAATCTGGAGGATTTCCTTTACTGGCTAGGTAACTTTAGTTAAGGAAGCCAGCGATCCAGGCAGGAGAAAGAAGAGCCAATGAAAATGAGAGAGAAATAACTGTCAAAAAGCTAAGACTTACTAGTGACTCCCTGAAGGGAATGAGAGTCCAAAACTTTTTACTTATTTATTTGAGAGAGCGAGAGGCAGAGGGAGAGGAAGACAGAATCTCCATCAGACTCCCTGCTGAGCTTGGAGCTTGACACAGGGCCCAATCTCACAACCCTGAGATCATGACATGAGCCCCAAAACCTAGAGTCGGAAGCTTAACTGACCAAGCCACCCAGGTGCGCTGAGTCAAAAACTACTTAAGGCCCTCTAGGATGTGGCCCTGTCCATCAAGGCAGTTTTATTTCTTATTATTCCTGCTCCAGGTCTACCACTTACTAGCTGTAATAACTTGAGCCAGTGACTTAAACCTGTCTTTGCCTCGGTGTCCTCATCTGTAATAGAATCCCACAGGGTTATTGTAAGGAGGAAAGGAGAATGCATGTCAAGAGCTAGCACAGGGCCTGACATGTAGTAAGTTCTCAAGAAACAATAGCTACATACAGTTACACTCCCTGATCTCCCATTCTAGCCAGGCTGCACATCTTCATTCCAGAATCCAAGTGCCTGCTCATGTTGTTACTTCTGCTTGGAATGCCCTCTCTGGTCTCCTCCACCTACATGCTTCAACATTCTAGCCAGGCCCTACTTTCTCCACAAGGCTTTCTCTGTACTGATATGACATTTTCCACCCATTCAACTCATCCTGATTAAGTAACAATGTTGCTTTGGTAGTTACCCATCTTATACCTTTAAGCCTACTCCCCCATGGAGAAAGCAGCTTCTTAATATTTTGTGTGTTTTTCATGCCTAATACAGTGCTACACTCTAGATGTTCAGTAAAGTCGGCTTGAAGAGAGGAAGGGGGGAAAAAGTCTGGATTCGGGGGGTTAAAAAGGTCAACTGAACCTTGAAGCAGTGGTTCTCAACTCTGGTTTCCCAGTATGCAGAGAGGTCTTGCCAAGATTATCACAAAATACTCTGTAAATTCTCAAAACAAGATCACTTTTAATTAGACTTTAGTTCTAAAGCAAGCCCAACTCTTTCACACAGCACCTTCTGAAGGAGTGTTATGAAATCCAACAAGTATAGGGGCAATGCAAACCCCAAAATATTTGGGAACCATGGATAAATCCTGCTTCTAGTGGAGTGGTGAGGAGAGAAGCAGACAAAGAGCAGAAATCTGCAAAAGCAGTGAGAAATGGGAGCAGAGTATAGAACACATTTGACCGAGTGCCTATCCCACATTGGGCACAGACAGACACTGATCTTGTCAACAATCCTCTTGGGGTGGCATCACTATCTGCAGGTCTGCCTGACTTGCAGGCCATGCTCTGGGAAAGATCCACAGCTTGGATTATGAGATCAGGAAAGGGGAAGGGAGGTGGCAACAGGTACCTGGTACAGATTGAAGGAGATGGTGGGTGGAAGGACACTAAAGGTAAACTTACTCCGCTTCCAATCTTCGCCTTTATCAAGCACTTCCTGGAACCCTAAGTATGCGTTCACCTCCAGACATTGAACTCAAGGGTCACAAGGTGCAACTTGGAGGTGCTCAGAATCTGGCTATGACTCTACCTCCAGCTTCTGGGAGCCACAAAGCTAAACCAGGCACGAGGGATGCAAAAATGCCAGGCTTGGATGGGTTTTCACAAGGAGAGGCGTGTGGGCTCCTCACCAGCCCTTGACAGCCGTGGCTCAGCCCTGGCAGCTTACCAAGCCCCACCCACCATCTCTCACCTCCTGAGATAAGGCTCCTCTGCGCAGGTCCAGTCCACCCATCCCTGAAGTATATAGTTATCTCTTTCCTTTGGTCTGGAAGAGAACTGATCCTGAAGGCCACCAGAGGGCGGTGTATAGCAGGGCCCCTGTGGACTGAAACTGCACAGCTGCTAACAGGCAAGGGCTGGCTCCTTGGTGGTACCACCAAACCCGTCCATCTCTCTCTGAGCCCAGACATTCCCCTTCCACTGAAGTTCAACTTCCTCTGAGCTTCCATTCTAACTCAGGGGCACCTGACTCTCTGAGTTCCTGCCTGTCTGCTGCATTGGAACCTGAAGGTTCCAGGAATACCCAGGCCGGGATGCAGAGCCAGGAGAATGGAAGAGGGAAGAGGGGGGTGGGGTGGTGGAGGAAGCCAGTAGAAACAACAACTAGGACAGGCGATCAAGAAGAGGACTCCAGTTGTAATGCCTATATGCCCTTGCTTGGAGAGCCTACCCATCTCCCCCTAAACACACACACCAGGGTTTGAAGCTGTTCTCTGTCCACAGCCCTTCAGGAGAGATAGGTTCCCACCCTCTGTTCCTGTTCTTTCTCTTGACCAAGAGTGTGTGGGCACTATCATTATAAATTAGCTAGGGATTCTCAAGGGTCATCAGTTGGTCCAGTGACATCCCAGAATAAAACATCACCCCCATTCAGACCCTGACACCAGGGTAGGATGGGAACTAGGCTGATTCATGGCCTTCACGGAGGGCCCAGGATGGTAGGCTAACAATCAGGGAGCAGAATTCTCCGAGTATCAGTAATGCAATAGCCTGAGACCTCGCTGGAGCCTCTATAAACGAGAAAGGACATGCGAGGACCCTCTTGCTCCTTCAACAACCCTGGCCCCTCCAACATTCCGCATACAACCATGCAGGCAGAATGCTGGTCCTCTCTGGGTGGGGGAAGGGACCAGCGGCCTAGAAAAGGGCACGACTCTTCTGGTCTCCGTTGCTGATCAATTGGGATGCCCCCTCTGAGGGGAGGAAGCAGGCAGGAAGACCTGCTGGGCAAGCAGGGAGGGGACGGAAGTAAAGTACTGACCCAGAGTTGGTCCCCTTCTCCCCTCCTCTGGAGGTGAATCCCCCTCGGAATAGAGATGTTTTCCAATAAGCTCCTGCAAGCCTTCCCTTTATTAGCCCGCTTGTAGGAAAATGTCAGACGTCAGATTGGCTGGCTGTGTTAAACAGTGTTAACGCCGTGCCCTGGCCCCTCACCTTGCCAGGCGGGGCAAGCAGATCATTATATTACAATTTATAAATAGAAAATAAAATAAAATAACCGGGTGGGGCTGAGGCACTCGGGAAGAAGACGCCAAATAGTTCTCGTCAAGGAGTATCCACCGTCAACCCCATCACCCTAGGACCAGGGATCTCCTCTCAGGTGGAGGTTGCCCCTGAACCAAGCAGTCCAGTCTCGCCTCCATTTTCCTCCCTGTCCCCTCCCTCCACCTCGAGTCAGCATCCTCTGCTACCCACACGCCCAGATCTCAGCCCGCACGCCCGGGTTTCAGCAGGCGTCTCGAGGTTTCTATGTCCGCCACACTCAGCCCAGGAGCTCCTCTGCCAAGCGATAGAGGAACCGAGAGTACCAGTGCATGCCCGTCGGCTGGACCGCCCCGCCCGGAAGCAGCGCCCCCAGCGCGTGTAGCAGGCGCAAAGGAGCGAAGGCGCGGTGCGCCCACTGGTGACTCTCCAGAACCGCGTAGCACGAGGCCAGGACGTCGTTGACCAGCAGCGTCCCGTGCGCTGTGAGCGGCGCGAACACGCCCACGGCTTCCTCGCGCGCCACGCGGGCCACGCGCGCCGGCCGAAGCGCGTCCCCGCCGGGCGCCAGCACCGAGTCCCCCGCGCGCAGCCGGCGCGCGAACACCGGTGCAAAGTCGCCTGGCGCGGGCGCTGGCCCTCGAGCAGCGAACACCAGGTGCCAGGGCGTGAGCAACAGCTTGCGCGGGGGCCGCTCGGTCTCCACAGCCACGAAAGAGGCCCGGCGCTGCAAGTCCCGGTCCAGGAAGAGCAGAACGGGCGTGGGCACCACCCGGCCTGCCGCGTCTGCCGCCAACACCCAGTCTCCGCGGTGCAGTTCCCGAAGCCCCTTCCGCTCGCCGCTCCGCAGGCGCACCGTGGCATTTCCCGGAAAGCAGCCGCCTGCCCTGACGGCCAGTGAGTTATCTGCAGGGAACAAGCACAGCGATGACTGAACCAAGACCAGCGGTTCCAGGACGTTGGTACAGATTCTCAAAGATGTGGGTCAAGCCCAGAGCAGACCTCGCCAGTCCTGGGACATGTAATTTCCCACGGATCTGGCCCCAACCTGGGCAGAAGTGGAAGGATGGTTTACAACACCAACGCCCACTTGGTCTCCCCTAGGGTCGCACCAGAGCTGTGCAGCCTCAGTTTCCTGGAAAGAGCCCCCTTTGGGCGGACCTCGCCACCCATCCCCTACTGTACCGGCTTTGACCGACACGTGGACGTGGTTGCGGGACTCGTAGTAGACCCAGTCGAAGCCGGCTTCCACTGCCAGGCGCGCCAGCAACCCATACTTATTGCGGTCGCGGTCGGACGTGGTGATGTCCAAGGCACGACCTTCGTAGTGGAGTGAGTCCTGAGCGTGGTGGCCGTCCTCGTCCCAGCCCTCGGTCACCCGCAGGCGCACTCCGGGCCACATGTTCATCACGGCAATGGCCAACGCGTTCACCCGCTCCTTACAGCGCTGGCGGGAAATAAAGGAATCAGTCTCCTCACTACCACTCCCACCGCAGGGGCAAAAGGGACCTGGAAGGGAGGGTCGATTCTTCTTTGTTTTCCTGGCCCCACACCACTCCCTCCCAGCTTTTGAATGTCCTGGGGAAGTGAGAATCCGAAGAGGTGTAGTCGCCAATATGCACTCTCTTTCCAGAGCGTTGTGGGAGAACTGTGGGGTCACCTCAGAGATTAAGAGGGGGTGCCCATACCTAACTCTTTCCCCTCTTTCGACGCCCACCCCTCACTCGTTTTGGGACCTCGGCTCAACCTGGAAGCGGCCAAGAGTTGAGAGGGTGGGGGGAAGCTCTGTCAGGGAGGGGTTGAGCAGCCTGGCTCCCCGAGAGGAGCCCCTGTTTGAGCCTGGCCCCCGCCCCAAGCCCGGGCTGCCCTCCCTCCGCCTGATTCATCTTTTGTTTCGTTGCCTTCCCTGGCACCGGGCATCGCTTCCTTCCTTCCTTCCTCCTCCTCCTCCTCCTTTTGGCCCCTAGCATTAACCCCTTCGTGGTGCGAGTGCCCCCCACAAAGGTGCCCAAGCGGAGCCGTGCGGGATCAAGGCTGCTGGAAAAAGGGTTTGGGTGGCGGGGGCTGCGCGAAGTACAATGGCCATTCTCCGGGATGACTTAACCGAGCGAGAATCCCGGGCCGAGGCCGGGGACTCGCCGGGAGAAGCGGACTCAGCAGCTCCATCCACAAAGGCGCTTTTCAGCCGCCCCGGCTCCGGGAGAGGAAAGGGCAGAAAGCCGCGCCCCCCATCCCCGCTCCTGCCCGCCGGGCCCCCTCCCCCAGCGCGACCAGCCCTCCCAATTCCAGCTCAGGCTCTGCCAGCCCTGAGCCCCGGTCTCTCCATCTCTGTTCCAGATGCAGCCCAGAAAGGCGTGGGAGTAGCACCTGAGATTAATGGGAGCTGCCCTTGCGCGGAACTGGGGGGCCCCCTGCAGGGTGGGAGTGGAGAGGAGGAAAAGCAGCGGTGGCTGGAAGCCTGCACCCGGGGGAGTGAGAGCACGGTTATCTGGGCGGCTCTAGTCTGGGAGCCGGAGACCTTGGCGCGCACCATAGCACCGAAGCGGCGGGAGGAGGCGCAGAGAAGACAGTTTCCTTTTCTTCTCCCCGCTCCGACCTCTCACCTCAGACTTGGCTTTCTCCTAAGTGCCATAGGGGCACTTTCCTCCTTCCCTTCTTCCCGAGTTTTCTACATCTCCGCAGGGTTGGAGAGGAGGGGAGGGGAAGACAGGAAAAGTGGTAACTCCTTCCAACTTTTTGTCGTTGTGTCCCCTAAGGAGGCCCTGAGGCCTTGACCTGCGGGGGCAGCAGCCCAGTGCAGAGCCAACTCAATGGAGGCCTTTTGCAGCCAGGGTGTGGGAGATAAGCAGGACCGAGGGGTTCCCAGGCCTTGCCGGAGCCCCTCCTGGGCCTGTCCCTTGTTCTGGCCCCTCTGGTGCAGGTGCCAGCCAGGGGAAAGGGCCACAATATACCATGACCAAGGAGTGTCCCCGTCCCAATCTCTGAGTAGTAGTAGAAGGAATTCTTTCTCCCCTGGACAGGTTTTCCTAACAAAGTAACCTGGAAAACTATGGCAATTAATCGGAGGAAATCCGTACCCCTCCCTCTCCCCCCACCTCCCCACTCCATACACAATTAGGTGGTGTAATGGAAAGTGTATAGACTTAGAATCAGGAGTCCTGAATTCTAGTCCCAGCCATGCCACTAATTAGTTTTAAGACTTTGATTAAATCACTTTTCCTCTTGGGGCCCAGCTCTCAGCTGCAAAATTGAAGGGAGGAGGTGGAAGAATGTGATTTCCAAGTTTCCTTCCAGGTCTGACATTTGAGGTCACTGGCCAGAGGTGGTCCTTCACTCCCAAGGCATTGCTCACCTTATCCTAGGTCAGTTAGGTTCCAGTCTGCAGCAGATGCTTGACACATGCTAGTTGAATTTAATTCTTTAATTCCAAGGGAAGCTCCTGAGCTAAGCTGAGCATGAGGGATGCGGGAACACTTTCTCAGGTGGGCCCATCTGTTCTTCCCATTGAGAACTACTTTTCACCCAAAACAGTCATTTAGACTCTAGAATAGTTTTGCCTTGGTTCTAGGATGCCTCCCCCATGCTGAAGACAATTCCTGCCCAGCCCCTTCTCAGGTAGATGGCCTGGTGACCTAACCCTTGGCCACCCCTTTCCCAGCCTCCTTCAATCTCTTTAGCCCACAGATCTTTTCCACAATCAGGTCAGGAGCCAGGCTAAGGGTAGAGCTTTCTGTCTGCTGCCTAGCCAGCTCCTGGCCCCCAGCTCACCCCAGCCCTTCCTGCCTGGCTCGGTAGCTGACCCCCGGTCCACGCCTCAGCCATTTCCCGTCTCGCCTGCCGCCATCCTCTTTTCCCCGCCCTCGCTGTGTCTCCCAGCTTCACTCTCACTAGTCCCTCCTCCCCTCCCCATTCCAGCTTCTCCCTGTTGGGATCCCTCCTGATCACTTAGCCCAGTGAGCACAGGTTTTTGGCGGGGGGGGGGGGGGGGGGCGGTGGAAGGGTAGGGAGAGGAGATCTTTGAGATTAAGGTCTCTATGGATGAAACCCAGCTTACCCTCCCAGGCTGCCACAGGAGTTGGCAATGCCCTGGCACAGGTGGGGAGAAGTCCTCCTTACCTCGGTCATCAGGCGGTCTGCACCACTGTTCTCCTCATCCTTGAAGATGATGTCCGGGTTGTAGTTGGGCACCAGGTCCCGGAAGCGCTCCGAGCCCCTTGCCACTCTCCCCTCGGCAGGCCCACTGGCGCCCAGGGTCCGCTCGGGCACACTGGGCACAAATTGCTTGTAGAGCAGCGGCACGAGCTGCTTGCGCACGTAGCGGCGCCGGCCAACCGGCCCCCGGCCCGGCCCGCAACTCTGGGCGGGCAGCGCCAGAAGTGCCAAGCAGCACAGGGGCATCAGCCTGGCCGGCAGCGCCATGGATGCAGAGGGCTCGGACCAAAGGGTACGTTGTCCTCACCAGCCCGCCCGTCAGTTGGGCATTTCCCCAGGCACCACAGAGCGCAGCAGGCAGAGCTGCCCCCAGAGTGCCCTAGAGCTCTCGTGGCTCTGCGCACCTGGCTGCCGCCAGCTCTGCCTACATGCCCCCGGGGGGTCTGGAACCTGCTACTGACGGCCCATCATAGCAGGGAAGGGGGGTCGTGGGTGAGTGCCAGCCCAGCCTGGCTCTGCTGCCCGGCTCCGGCGCTGCCAGAACACCCCGGCTCCGCCTTAAGTGGCCCCTGGCCCCGCCCCCCGCCCTTCTCCCAGGACCGTCCCGCCCCCTCCCACCGGGGCGGGGGCTCTAGCCGGTCACCGCTGGTCCATTTCGCGACTGAAGCGTGTCCCATCCTGGAAACCAGGCAGGCACCTGTCTAAGAAATCCTAGGAGCTTTTCAGTCTTAAGCTGCCTGGATAAGCATCCTTCTACTTCCAAGCCTAAGCTTGGCACCAAACCACCCTCCTCTGATACTTGAATTGGATCTTTACTCTCCCAAAGCCTATCCTGGCAGGCCATTGTCCTCTGCTATCATCCAGGAAGTATGGGTTCCACTTTCTACCCAAGGCCAGCCAAGCCCTTTGGGCATACAACCAGAGACTTTCTTCTCTGTGGTCCTCCCCAAACTTCCCCCACTTTCATCTCTCCTCCTTGACAGTAGTAGCCTGGGCTGGAAGGGGTGGGTACCAGGGGACCATTTTCTTTGGTAACTTTGCAGCCTTCTGCTGAGAGCTTCCCCCAGAATCAGGGATAGATCCCTGTAGTTATAATTTGGTTCTGGACTTCAAACTTCTGCCTCCTGTCTCGTCCTTGCCAGACACCCACCCAATGGCTGCTTCTTTTCAAATGCGTAACTTGTCAGTTGGAAGCTGCTGGAGGGCAGAGGGTACTTAAAGTCATAGTCTTTTAACAGGCTAATGGTCGCTTCCCTTTACCTTCCATCTAGGCACCTCTCTAGCTTTGTCCCTCTCTGAACCCCTTGGGGCTCTGCTTCCAACCACTCAGGTCTCATCTCAGAGGCTTTGAGCCTGCAACACTTCACCCACCAATCTATTGTTTAGAAATCACTTTCTTGGGGCACCTTGGTGGCTCAGTCGGTTAAGCGTCTGCCTTCGGCTCAGGTCATAATCCCAAGGTCCTGGGATCGAGCAGTACACTGGGCTCCCTGCTCCAAGTGGGGCTGCTTCTCCCTCTCCCTTTGCCTGCCACTTCCTCTGCTTGTGCTGTCAAATAAAATCTTAAAAAAAAAAAAAAAATCACTTTCTCTAAGAAGCCTTCCCTGATGTCCTGACACTGCCCACCTGTTTCCCTGAGAACCAGTAATTAACTGCCAACCATGTGGTATTAGAATTATGTCACCCTTACTAGACAAAGCAATTCTTAAATACAAAACTGTTTACCATGAATCCCCATGGCTAAGTGCCTGGCCTATAGTAGGGTGCTCAGCGAAGTATTTGTGGCATCCACACTTCCTTTTGGTGTTCAATAATCCCCCCTCCCTCAGCTCCATGGCTAGCACTTATAGCAACTTTGTGTACATTAGAAAAAAGTGTTCCTTCCTCAAGACACCTAACTGCCATTTGCAAGAAAATAGTCGTAGTAACTATATAGTAACAAGGTGAAGGGTGCTCCCTAGAAGTTGCACAATGCACAATCTGTGTCACCTTGAGCAGAAACTTTGTCCCTACCCCCAACACAGCAGGAGTGCCTGCACAGCATTCTAGGCACTGATAGCTTCTGGAAAGACGGAGTTATGTTCTTTTCTGAGAATCACAAACCCATGTCAGTCAGCCTTCCTTCACTTTAGGTCAAACCCAAGTTAGGGAGGACAGGGCTGAGGATTTTGTGTGCATATAGAAGTTATCCTATTCCTACACCCATGCCCACCTACCCCCAATAACCAAGGCACAGAAATAAGGCATGAGTATAAGGAAGAGTCAGGGGACCAGCCAGCTTTAAGCAAGGCAAAAGGAGGAGGAGCCTCCCACTGCCTAATTGTATGGCCTAACACTAGACCCAAGTCTCTAAAAGATACTAAGAATGCAGATGATGGAGGAAAAGAGAAAGGATGGTAGGCAGGATCCCTCTGTTTTTCTCAGTTGGTAGACTCAGAATTGGTGGGAATAAGGCTGTTCAATAGACACAGAGACAGGCCCTTTAAAAAACCAAAGCAAACCCTGGGATCAACTTTATTGCTGATGGTTGTGGTGTCTTCTTCCCTACGCCCTTGTCTCTCTGATGGTCCAAAGCCCCTCCAGGATAGTACAGTGCTTAGGCTCTGCTGGGCCAGAGGCAAGGGAGACAATCTGCCTCCCAAGTCTACCCCCAGCTCAGTTTCTCCCCTGTCCCCACCCCACCCTATTGCACATCAAATCATGTAAACATGGCTACGGGCATGGCCCTGAACAGCAGTGAGGCAGATTGATGTGTAAACAGATTTGGGACCAGGGACCAGACCCAGTCACCCAGCCCCATCCCATGCTGAGGCCCACAGTTAAATTTGGAAAAGCAGGGGGGCTTGGTCCCAAACTCTGGCTCAGATTATGCAACAGTGCAGACAGCTCAGCTCCCCTCTACCACCCTCTCAGATTCCAGGTCCTGAGGTCCACCCACCCCTGGGCGCCCCTCCAGGCCTGGGCAGCAGATGGCAGTGTCCAGTTTTCTCCCTCCCACCCCCAGCTGGAAGTCATTGGTGCTGGGTCTTCCGAGATGCCCGGGGAAAACCGGAGACAGGCAATGGCAATCTGTCCAGCCCTGGAGAAGAGGGAGGGTGGGCAGTGAAAAGCAGGGCATAGGTCCAGTCTCAGGAATAAGACAACCCAGCCACAGAATGGGTATATGAGGTACATTACAAACAAAGCAGAGAGCATGCCATCTCTCCTGCTTGGATGACCATGGTTCCAGAGGGTCCCACCTCACAACCACCCCATTAGCCTGCGCCCCCACTCCCTCTCACCAAAGGCCCGGATCAGCTCTGCCCGCACAGCTGCGGTAAAGGTCTTCACCAGACAGAGAGTGGTGAGGCCCGCGAAGGCTGCGTTGTATAGGAACACGATGTAGAAATTGCCCAGCCAGTTGAAGCGTCCAAAGTCACCCAGCAGGTCAAAGCGAGTGAGCCCTGAAGTACAAAGGCCAGCATGGGAGTGGGCTCCCCAGCTCCTCCCTGGCTCAGAGCCCAGTTTTCTGCTGCCTCCTAGTGGCCACATCTCAACAATGCAATTGATAGGTTGGCCTTTCCTATGTATTTATTATTCCTACTTCCCAACTTGTCTCAGAGGGCTAACGGCTGTTGAGGAGAGTGTCAGCAGCTAGGCTTGCTCCAACTTCCCTTTCAGAGTTCAGCATCTTCTCCTCCAGTGGGGCCCCCCTCTGGCTCCACGTGTCCCGAGGAGCTCCCTGGGCCTGCTACTTGTTCCTAGGCCAGGAACCTAGAAGCTGGTCACCCAGTGTGGAGGCTAAGAGCTCCGACTCTTATCAGGCTGCTTTGGTTCAGATCCAAACTCCACCCCTAACTAATTGTGTTATCTGCAGCAGCTTCCATAGATTTTTGTGCCTAGGTTTCCTTAACTATAGAGAAAATAATGGGACTTTGAGAATTAAATGAAACAACACATATAAAGCACTATATGTGCCAGGCACTGTTCTAACACTTGAGTCCTTAATCATCATAATAATGTCATCACAAGTCCAAATTTTGGGGCCGTCCCCCACTTAAAAAATATTCTCACCTGCATCCGACCTAAAGGAACGAACTAGTGGACCCACAAGCCTAGTTTCCTACTGAATCCCCAGGACATAAGTACAATGGCACAGTGGAGACAGTATGAACTGAAGAACCAAACCGAACTGATGGTTCATGACGTGGTGAAGGCAGAGCTCCCATATTACCCTGGGGAGAACTATTACACTTTTGAACATTTTTACCAGGCGATTCTAGATGATAGCTCTAAAGATGGGAGAAGGACTGAGTGTAGTATTTGATGTCCCAGTGTGTGGAAAAAGCACTGGACTCGTGTTTAAGAGACAAGGGTTCTAGCCTGACTTGGCCTTGCTTCAAGCGAGCTATATAACTAGGTAAATTGATTAGCTTCTCTGTTTCTTGTCTTTATAAAATGAGAATGTTTAGGGGCGCCTGGATGGCTCAGTTGTTAAGCATCTGCCTTCGGCTCAGGTCATGATCCCGGGGTCCCGGGATCGAGCCCCACATCGGGCTCCCTGCTCGGCGGGAAGCCTGCTTCTCCCTCTCCCACTCCCCCTGCTTGTGTTCCCTCTCTCGCTGTGTCTCTCTCTGTCAAATAAATAAATAAAATCTTTAAAAAATAATAATAAAATAAAAATAATAAAATGAGAATGTTTATTAGAGGATCCAGCTCAGAGGAAGATTTGGGAGAAAGTGGTGCTTCTCCACCGAAAAATGGAAGTAAATAGGGGAGGCTGTGGGATACAGCTAATGGAAAGGTATGAGCTTTGAAGCAACACTATTCTGAAGCTCAACACAGGCATTTTACAGAGCCTCAATTTCTCCATCTGTATAATGGGGGGTAATACCTCCACCTAGGTTGGTTGTGGGAATTAGAGAGAGCATGTAAATAAAATGTATGCTTGGGGCGCCTGGGTGGCTCAGTTGGTTGAGCGACTGCCTTAGGCTCAGGTCATGATCCTGGAGTCCCGGGATCGAGTCCCGCATCGGGCTCCCTGCTCGGCAGGGAGTCTGCTTCTCCCTCTAACCCTCCCCCCTCTCATGTGCTCTCTCTCTCTCTCTCTCTCATTCTCTCTCTCAAATAAATAAAATCTAAAAAAAAAAGGTAAAAAAAATAAATAAAATGTATGCTTAGCACCAGTAGGTACTCAGAAAAGCCAATTCCCTTACCTCCTTTTGCTACTTACCCAGGGTTCGAGAAAAGACAGGAAGTGCGGAGCTTAGGACCAGGAGACAGACACAGTTCCCAATTATCTAGGTCGGAGTAAGGAAAGGGGAGGTGAGGGTAGCAGAGCTGCCAGCACCTAGCACCCTTGCTGCCCCCAGGAGCTTGAGCTTCCTTTATTCCTGCCCGGCTACCTGTGTCATGGCTGTGTCGTGCCATCTGGGCCGCAGGCTCCGGAAGAATGGAGAGCTGTAGAATCCCACAACTGAGGATACCATCAGGTAACTGCCACTAGGTTAAGGAAGAACTGGCCAGCCCCCAAGGATTAATGCCTCATCTCAAAGGGAATGGACCTCTCCCCTAACCCTCCTTTCAAATGAAGTCTTTTCCTTCTTCCTGAACCCCAACGTGGGTGAAGACTTGCCCCTTTCCATCATTCCCACCACAGTCCCAGAAGACAGGTTCAGTGAACAGAGGCAATGGTGGGTTTCCAGAAGGATACAAGATGAGTACAACCTGAATGACGGCACCAAAGGAGCCCAGCTTGGAGAAGGAGACCTGGCCCAGGGAGGCATCCTGAGAGATGGAGTGGTGTCACTATGGAATACTCCCTACCAGGAGCACCACCGAACACCCAGCACCCAGCCTTCCCTCTGGCCTCAGCTTCTGTCTCTCACCCCAGCCTTTCTTAAGCCCTCCCCAAAAGATATGCAGCCCAGTACCTGCATGCCCCGGGGCATGGCAGCCTCATCGATGAGCAGCTCCAGGATGTGGACGGCCACAATGAGCACAGAGAGGCCCTAAGGGAAGCAAGGTCACGGACTCCCATTCCTGCCCCAGCCCACAGCTGTATTCAGTGTTGAATGTTAAGAGCAGACACTCTGGTCAACATTTTGTTTCCCATTAGCTGTGTGGGACCTCTTCAAGGTTATTGCTAGCAACAGAGCACCTTTGAGGGTATTGTAAGATACCCTTTCGGGGTGGAAGGATTGCAAAAAGTTTGAATAGAAAAATGTACCTCCTCCCCCAGATCAGTAAGAGTTATTTCCAAGTGCAGAACATGGCACGTGGAGGGATGGACTGATCTCCACCCTTATTTTCACCCCAGAGAAAACTTGTGTAACTACTCAGTGGCCATGTATGACCTTAGGCAAACTCCTTCACTCCTGTTTCTTCATCTACAAAATGGGGATCGGTGTGCTCAGTACAGGGCAGGACCCAAAGTAGACAATCAGTGAGAGGCAACTACTATTATTGCTGATAACTGGGTCCCTGCATCTCCTCCCTCTTCCCTAAAAGGACCTAAAGTAGTCAAGAGCCTACTATTCCTCACCTCCACCAGGAATGGGACACCTACCGTCAGCACCAGCAAGCACAGCATGGCCAGGGGGTAGCCCAGGTTCCGCTGCCAGGCTGAGGCCTTCCGTCGCTTCTCTGTACAGGGATGAAAAGCTGTTAGCAAGGGCCAGGAGTGACAGGCTACTCTCCCTGGGGAAACGCAGGTATCCCAATCCCTACCAACCTACATACCCAGCAGGACCCTCTGTGTCTGCAGAGCTAGGACCTGTCTGTGCAGCAGCTCCATATCCAAATGCAGCCAGCAGGAGGTGGGATCTGAGGGCAGAGAAGATGGGGCTGCCTCCCAGTCCTGCAGCCCCCACCCAAGGCACAGCCCCCAACCCAGCTGGCGAGAACCACGACTTACTACAAATCCTGCGGGTTAAAGCTGCCTCCTCAAAGGCTGAGCAGTGCAGCTGCTCCTCCAGGTCTTCTAGCAGCTGGGGACAGGGGAAAGAGGGACTACCTGTCAGAGGCTCCCTGATCCCAAGGGCCCCAGGAGACCCCTGCTCATCCTAGGCTCCACAGTCTCATTCCTTCCCCTAACCCTCATTCACCACCCTGTGTCCAGAAGCTTTATCCAGTCCCTCCCAACTGCCGTTTGCTCTGCCTTGCATGTCTGGTGACCAGCCCCAGATGCTGGGGGTGAAGGATATGGGAGGCAGCAAAGGCTGTGGCCTTCCGCAAGGCGTGTACTACACAACTGTAGGGTAGCTTCACTGTTTGGCTCCGGCTTTGCAGGAATCGAAGGGCAAAGAGCACTACATACCCGAGGCTTGACCAGTAGCTTCCCAGTGACTGAGAACATGCGGGCGAGTC